CTATTCTAGTTCTTTTATTATTTATTATGTTAGGCTAGGTTTTCTTTCTAGTTCCGGGGATGTCGAACCCTACGACTTAGTGACGTTTGATTAATTTTCTTTGTTGATAATTAATTATCTTTCTGAAATTGTTTGTGTTACTTTGACTGAGCAAACATGATGTGTTTGATTTTATTTAGATTGATAGATAAGATTTTTCGTATTTATAGCTAGAATTAGACATTCAATACGTAATTGTTGTTGTGTTTAATTCATGAGAGACAACCGGAAGATGGTAACTACTGGGTTAACACGGCCTATTTAAGTGAACGAACATGGTTGAGTTCACTACTTAGTCTAGTCTATTTTTCTAATTCGTAAAGCGGCTAATTGTATTAAATCTTGAAAGCATTTTTCTGGATTATACAAGAAGTCATGTTTAATCATAAAGCGTCTCGCAGTTAAATTAAAAATAAATAAAAATTCGAGTAGCAGACCGTATCGTTACCTAGGGCTAGTAATTCCATAAGATAGCGATATTTGATATCAAATTTGATTAGACGAGTCGGTCGAGGTTGTAGACGGAACCGTGAACTAGAAATTTCTCTTACTTTATTTATTTTATTTTTATTTTTCTCTGTTTAGATTTTATTTTTCTCTATTTAGATTTTATTTATTTCATCATGATTTTAATTAATTTAGTTATTAAATCAACCCCCCCCCCCCTCTTTTTCGCTTTTTTTATAGTTTCAATTAATACGAAAATTTCACAATTTGATTCACACTTCTCGTGGGATAGACCCTTTGTAACACCCCGCCTAGACTTACTAAAATCAGAGTAAATTTCTCGCGCTATAAAAAAAAACTCTGTTTCAATTTTCGAAAACTCATATTCATTTTTCGAAAATATTTTAACTTTAATATGTGGTATGCTACTCAACTTTAATCTTAAATCTTTAATCTTCAATATCTTTGAACGACTAGGCATGCATAAACTGAATTAATTCTAGATACTAAAATACTGAGTGCGGAAGCAAATGTAAGCATGCATCGACAAAGCATAATAACTCAAACATGTTAAAATATACATGACATGTTCACTAAAAATATCCTTGCTATGACCACCACCACATCATCGGCTCACGCTCCACGCTCGACACCGTCACCTGAAAAATAGTTAGTGGGGGGCGTGAGCATAAATAGTCCACGTACTCCGCCGGAACCAACACTAAAATATACAACTAATATAATAACACATCATGACATTGGTATATAAGCAAGTACTTACTGGATAGGCAGAAATGATATGATGATGATCATTTACTAAGGATTAAACCTTCATCCAATAAATACTTAAATCGGCAAACTATCTATAGTTGCTACTTAACTGACTGCCTATAATTGTTGTATAGCTGACTGTCTATAATGGCTGCTCGACTGGATGACTATAACTGATGCTCAGCTGACTAACTATAATGGCTACTCGACTGGCTAACTATAATTGCTGCTCAACTGACTAACTATAATGGCTGCTCGACTGGCTACCTATAATTGCTGCTCAACTGAACAACCTAAGCATACATCTAATATGATAGAACACATCACAAAGGCGTATAAATAATTATATTGTCTATAACGACTGCTCAACTGGCTATCTATAATTATTGCTCAACTGACTGCTTAACTGGCGAGAAGGACACTTGGTCTTCACGCTCGCGATAAGCAACTGTAGGACCTCATCTGTAGGTCGTTGCCACTTACTAGGGCAAAATTAACTCTTATTCACTTCTAAGGTTGGAGCTTAACTCACAACTGTACTAGAGTCCTTGATATTAACTAGGGATTTAAAACACTTGGTTATGACGAAACCTATCTTTAGATCAATGTCCCTTAGGGAAAAGTTATTCTAAGATCGTCTGAAATTAGACTTAACTCAAGGCCGCTATAGGGTTCTTAATTCACTTAACTCAAAGCTACACTAGAATTTTTATCTCGTCTTAACTAGCGTTTGATTCACCTAGCTAGAAAGGATCTACTTGCTAGGTAATTGCTCTATTCGGGCAGAATCTCACATAAATACCTCAACTATGGTATTGCAATTATAGAAGATGTAATACTCAGTACAGGGTCCCCACCTGATATGTTGAAATGCAAGTGCTGAATGGTTTGCAACTGTCGAAGGCTCAACTCTCCACAAGCTAAGGTCGGGCTCGAATTAGAGAAGCCGAGAATAGATCGAGCTAAAGAAAATAGATCGAAGCGAACCAACCGGGTCGGGCTGCTCGAATTTGGTTCAGATTCGTTGATTTTGTGTTGGGTATAAGCTAAGAGGGCCCGTATATGGTCTGGGCAGCTTGCTAATGCATATTTTGGGCCATGGATTGGAACCGATAGGGTCTTGGCTGTGCTAGCATGCGCGTGTGTCGGCCGCACGGATGCTAGGGCTCATCGGCACGGTGCTGAGGTTGCCGGAAACGCGAACTGCTGCTGTGGGTCCAGTTTTAGAGCGAACCCGGTGCAGCTGGACTGGAAATGACGCGGGTCTCAAGGGAAGCTGTTCACCGGCGTAAACAC